ACTTTCAAAGAGAGGCTCGAACCTAAGACAAACAAAGACCATCTCAAAAAGAGTAATAAAAATCAGAATTTAAAAAAGATACAGCCACTGGACAGGTGCGTTTTTTAAAAGATGTTTGTCCTTAATAATGAATAGAATGTTATATTTTATGCTATAGTTACTCGACACTTTCAACACAGTGGAGGTATGTGTAAATTAAGAGGCGGGAACTCTGATCTTCAGAAGAATGAAGTGTTTCAGATAGGAAACAGCGACGAACGCACCAGAACCTATAGATAACAAAAAACACGACATCCCAAATTAAAATGATGTACGAGAAAACTAATGAGGAAAAAATTGATCGAAGCAGCATTTCGTTAAGCTTCCACACGAATCACGCCAAAGGGCGACATTGTGTCCTCACCGACGTGGGAATTGATGCTCAGCTATAGACAGCTTAAGATAATACGTTGTTAGTTTGTGTTATAAGGCTTGAAATCCGCTGCTTTCACTGTATATTTAAGAGGAGCCGAGAGTAATTTTGAGTGTACAAAGGTCTGATGGGGTAATGATAGCTATAAAGTGCATAGAGCGTGCTGTGCAGTGTGGACGTGCCCTAGACGATGATGATGATGATGATGATGATGATGATGATGATGATGATGATGATGATGATGATGATGATGATGATGATGATGGTATGTATCAAGTGTGTCCCAGAAAGAATACCCATTCAGTATCAAATTGACCCGCTACAAATTCATGAAATGTAAATGTTTTGGCTTTAAAAAGAACCAATTCAATGTGTGGTTCATGATATTTAAAAAACGTGCAAGGTATTTAATTTTTAGAATCTAGAGGCAGAAACTCCTACCGTCCTCCTCCCCCAGTATGACCCAGAAAATTTGATAAAGTAGTAGATCTAGTGGAAATTCCTTCCCCAATTTCAAAATGAACAGTTTCAGATTCGAATCATGGTCATCCACATCCAAAAAGGTAACATCTAAACGGATGATGCGCCCAAAAAATAGATAGAAGGATAAACAAATAATAAAAATAGGAAACAAATAAAATAACAACTTTAACTTAATAAGAGACCACCCACCGTCTCAAGATCACAATCGAAGAAATCGCCTGAGGCGTACGACTCGCTCACCTCTCACCCACTGACCAGGTGGCCGAGACGGACATGTTTAAGAAAAAAAATTTTACAAAGCAAGACAAGCGTTGTTATATAATTATAAGTTGGGTCACCATCAAACGAAACCTTTGCAGCTTCTTTGCAGACTCAACTGCTCTTGATGGCAGTGGCTGCCATTGATCGAATTAATAATGAGAAAGAAACCAAAAAATCTACTGGTTCGAGACTCTCTTTGGAGGTACGCTACTTCAGTGAGCAGTTCGAAACACAAAGGATGACCAAAATACTTGTCGTCATAATGTTGTCAACAGACCACGCCTGAAACTGCTGACAACTAGAAGGGAATTTTTGCGAGACACAAAGAAGGGCAACTAACAATATTAAGCCGATCGATAGCTGGTGGATATTTGCCCCTTTACTAGGAAGAAGGCGTTATTGAACCACGTGGTACATTCGTTAGAATTGAGAGTTTAAAAATTACATATAAAGTCTCCTCGTTTCCCTTTCCATGTAAAAAAAAAAAAAAAAAAAAAACCAAAATCTGGCTGTCCCCGGTTTACGTCTAAATTAAATGGATACAATTGAGAGTGTGCACTGAAACGTTAGCTTTGGTCAAGAGGCGCTCTGGTCCCCAGTATTGAGGAAACCCCCTGCCCTCTTCCCCATTGGTGTTTGAATTTCAATCACAAAGGAGGCTCTCAGCTGACAGAAACTGGGAGGGAATTGACAAAACGTGGGCGGGAATTGATAAAACCTGGACCTTCACTGATGCTGAAACATGTGCAACGGGTCGTGACAGGTGTGTTCACAAAAGACCCCAGCCAGTCCGGCTGATTGTTACGCCAGGTAGCCATTACACAACCGGGCGGCGTTTTGCTCCTTGTGTTGTACTATTTTAGCTGACTAGCTGGTTTTGGTTAACGCTATTATAGTGTGGTTATTGTACACTTTGAAAGTCTTTCTTTAAAAAATAACAACCTAAGTATATTTATTTACACATTGCAATCGAACTACAAGCACCCTCCACTCAAGCCCTTCCTAAAATAAACAAATCTTGTCTGCTGTTGGAATGCACACAGTCAACATTGCGTCTATCAGAGCACGTGGGTACAGTACCAACAATTTAAGTTCAAGACGTCACCAAGCATAGCATTTGCAGTTTTCAGAATATTAAAATTGATAAGAGCAGCACTTCGCTAATTTGATAAAAATAGTGGTTGAAATGTTTCCCCCATTTAAGAATAAAGCGTTTCAGATTTGAATCATGGTCGAATTAATTCAGTATAATTCAGAAAAGTGACATCTAACGCGACGATGCAGTCGATAAATAGGTAATTGGTTAAGGCTATAGTGGTGTGGTTATTGTTCACTTTGAAAGTCTTTCTTAAATAAAATCCCAACAACCCTGATATATTAATTTACACATTGTAATCGAACTACAAGCACCCTCCACTCCAGCCCTTCCTAAAATAAGACAAATCTTGTCTGCTGTTGGCATACACAAGTTCAACATTGCGTCGACCAGAGCACGTGGGTAGAGTTTGTTCAATTAAAGTTCAAGACATCACATAGCATAGCATTTGCAGTTTTCAGAATATTAAAGATGCTAAGAGCTGCACTTCGCTAATTTGATAAAATAGTGGTGGAAATTTGCCCCCAATTTCAGAATGAAGCGTTTCAGATTTGAATCATGGTCGAATTAATTCAGTATAATTCAGAAAAGTGACATCTAACGCGACGATGCAGTCGATAAATAGGTAAAGGAATAAACAAATAACAAAAACTGGAAACATAATATAACAATGAAATAACAAGTGACCACCTACCGTCTCAAGGTCACAATTGTAGAAAACGCCTGAAAACTCGGAATTGAACGCAAGTGCCTATGATGAATAAAACACAGAATAGCAAGACGTCTACACTCGCTGATAATCCAATCGAGAATAACGAAAAAATCCGGAAACTACTGGCTCGAGCCTCTCTTTGGTGGTACGCTACTTCGCTGCACGTTTCAAAACACAAAGAAAACTAAAATTTTACTTCCTGTCGTCAGCTGATTACGAGCCAATAGTTGGTCACGGACATTGCCACGCCCCGAGGCGTAAGTCTCGCTCTCCTCTCACCCACTGACCGAGAGGCCG